TTGAATGGTTTGGGATCTGCAGAGCTGCGCATTGATGGATTTGCTCTTCAGCGTTTGGACTCTCAGTATTGAATATTAAACCACCCTGAACTGAGCTAGTCTGAATTTAAACTCTGAAAACTGGACTGATACTGTTTTCTGTGCTTTCTTTCACCCCTGTTGAACAAACAGTGAACATAGCAGGATGGGGAACAGCTACCCAGTCGACAATATATATGGACGGGCTTCCTGTAAATGCTCTGAATGGGATAAGCCCCCCCTGTACACACACTATAGTACAGACTCTGCCCTGGTGGAGACTAGACCTGCAGAAGAGCTACAGCGTGAACAGAGTCTCCATCACTAACAGACTGGACTGCTGCAGTGAGAGGATCAACGGTGCTGAGATTCGCATCGGAGACGTTCCTTCAGATGTGTTCAGCAACCCAGTGTGAGTCTCTGTTTAATATAGATGCAGACATTCTTGCCAGATGGCTGCTCATTTGATGATTTATATATTTGGTAACACTTGACTTAAAAGGAGATGTTTATAAGACCTTGCCAATACAGCTTCATAATCATGATGTGATTAAAGAAGATTTTATCGCAACTGTCGTTCACTCAGTTATGTCATTTCAATCAAAATATGGCACTGAAATGTCTTTGTTACAAACCATTACAGCATTATCCGTCTTTGTAAACATGATTGTCATAAGGTAAATTAGTTCTAATTGAAAACTGTCACCCCTCCATCTCTTCATCTTGATCACCATCACCACCACCCCTGCTCTTCCTCTCAAACACCATAACCCCCATTCTTCCTCTTGCGATCAATATCACCCACTCAATCTATATCTAGATCAACATCACCCCCCCCCCCCCAGCTCTTCATCTTGATCATCATCACCCCTCCCCCCCTTCAGCTTGTACACCCCCACCACCCACTCTTCTTCTGGGATACCCCCTTTTCATCTCTAACGCTGTCATTTCACCTCTTAATCTCAAAAACCGCCACCCCTCTTGACCTTGAACATTATCATCCCTGCTCATCTTCAACTTGAAAACCATCACCCATCCATTCTTTATCTCAAACGCCGCCATCTCCCCCACTCTTCATCTAGAACACTGTCATCCAGCCTCTTACTCTCATGATCACTGCCACCCCATTCATCTCAAACACCAACACCCCTTCCCCCGGCTCTTCATCTTGATAACTGTCATCCCCCTTTTATCTCAAACATCATCAACCTCCCTTCATCTCAAGCACCATGACCCCCCCCTCATCTTGAGCCGCATCCTCCTCCCATTCCTCTTGAACACCATCAACTCTCTTTCATCCTAAGCCCCATCAGCCTCTTCTTCATCTGAAGCCCCATCAGCCTCCCCTTCATCTCGAACAACATCAACCCCCTGCTCTTCATCTTAAACAACCCCCCTCGCTCTTTATTTTGAACACCATCAACCTCCCCTTCGTCTTGAACACCAACACCCCTCGCTGTTTATTTTGAATGCCATCAACCTCCCCTTCGTCTTGAACACACACCCCTCGCTTTTTATTTTGAACACCATCAACCCCTTCCATCTTGAACACCATCAACCCCCTTCATCTCAAACATCAACCTCCCCTTCATCTCGAGCCCTGTCATCCTCCTTCATCTCGAGCCCCATCATCCTCAACTTCAACTCGAACATCATCAGCCTCCCCTCCATCTCGAACACCATCAACCTCCCCTCCATCTCGAACACCATCAACCTGCCCTTCATCTTGAACACCATCAAACAGCCCTTTATCTCGAACACCATCAACCTCCCCTTCATCTCGAACACCATCAACCTCCCCTCCATCTCGAACACCATCAACCTGCCCTTCATCTCGAACACCATCAACCTGCCCTACATCTCGAACACCATCAACCTGCCCTTCATCTCGAACACCATCAACCTGCCCTACATCTCGAACACCATCAACCTGCCCTTCATCTCGAACACCATCAACCTCCCCTACATCTTGAACACCATCAACCTGCCCTTCATTTTGAACACCATCAACCTCCCCTCCATCTCGAACACCATCAACCTGCCCTTCATCTCGAACACCATCAACCTCCCCTTCATCTTGAACACCATCAACCTGCCCTTCATCTCGAACACCATCAAACTCCCCTCCATCTCTAACACCATCAACCTCCCCTCCATCTCAAACACCATCAACCTGCCCTTCATCTCGAACACCGTCAACCTGCCCTTCATCTCGAACACCATCAACCTCCCCTTCATCTCGAACAACGTCATCCTCCCCTTCATCTCGAGCCCCATCATCCTCCTTTTCATCTTGAGCTCCATCATCCTCCCCTCCATCTGGAACACCATCAACCTCCCCTTCATCTCGAGCCCCATCATCCTCACCTTCAACTCGAACACCATCAACCTGCCCTTTATCTCGAACACCATC